ATGAATAAGTAAAGAAACAAATAACTCAATAGATAAATGAATTAAATCATAAAAACAATGGCAATGATAATGATAATAATAATAGTAAAAAAAAAAAGATGAGCATGATAATGATCGTAATAGTAATGATAATAATGTTGATAATGACATTGATGATAATGAAACAATGACTATATCAAGAAATGAGATAATAAAGATAATAGATAACAATGAACAAAAAAAACATTAATTCAAAGGGACAAATGAAACTCACAAAAGAGGAAGAGAAAAGTCCAGCGACGAAGCAGCGAGGGGGGGAGGGGAGGGGAGCTGAGGCGATGCAACAGCATTGCATGGAAGAGCGTCGTGTCTTGTGCAACAACCGGCGGGATGACCCAGCGTTTGCAGCCCGTTCGTCATGCAAGGCAGTCGTTCTCGTGCATGACAAGTTTCTCTTTTCATGCAATGGGTCTTCACTCACAAAATTAAAAAGAATAAACGGAGAGAGAGAATGCAGAGTGAAAATATGTGTTTGTGTTTTTTACGTTTTTTGTGTGTGTTTTGCAATTTTTGATCTTTAATCTGGATTTTAAGTCTTATTACGTTTTTTTTTTTTTTTTTTTTTCTAGGGAAAATGTTTAGGTAATAAGGAACAAAACCCAATACGTATATTCACTACGATCAGTTTATCACCAGTTGCTAAGTATTCCGGATTCCTATCCATAAAACAACAACGTCAAGATAGCTCTCCTAATCCAAGTTTAGCTATCATCTCTTCGCTTGTAACTGTTCTATTTCGTTTCAGACAAAACCTGTGACGCATATGGATTGCTCGCCTGGGAGGAAAATGAATACAGTGGATAGCAGTGCTTGCTAAATGTATCATGAGAAAAACTGCAAGCTTTACTAGCACAGAAATAGGAAAAAAGTTGGATGGTTGCATTATTGCCGCTGTTCGATGCTCAGGGAAGAGTTAGGAGAGGAGGAAGAGATGCATGGATAGATAGATAGATAAAAAAATAAATAAATAGAGAATGGGAGGAGACTTGATAGGGAGAGAGAGATAGATAGTAATTAGATAGACAGAAACAGAATGAGAGAGAAAGAAAGGGAGAGAGGGAGAGATAGGTAAATACTCATAGAGAAAGATAGACAGATAGATAGATAGCGAGAAGGATAGAAAAATGGGATACATCAAAATAGAAAGAAAGAGAGAGAGAAAGGAGAGCAAAAATAAACCAGAAGCGAGAGACACATAGAAACAAAGCCTTAGGAAGCAAGCGAGGCAAAAGGACGGGAGAGGGAGTGAGGGGGCCTGAGTCCCCGCCCCCTCGCTCCCTCCCCCCTCCCCTTCGGCACCAGGCAGTCTCCGAGGGCGCTCCCGGCTCCTCCTCCTCCTCCCACTCCTCCTCCCTCTCCTCCTCGTCCGCGAGCGAGAAAGGTAAACAGAAGCTTCTCACGCCGTGTTTGCTTTACGGAGGACTTCTTTGCCCACCCGAGCGGGGGAAGAGGGGAGGGGAAGCAGGAGAGGGAGGGGGAGAGCACTGGCTTGTGGGAGGGGATGTCATGGGGAGAGGAGAGGGGAGGAAAGAGTCACTGGGATAGAAGGGGGATTGTTGCTGGGATGGAGGGATAGGGGGAAGGGTCGATGGAAGGTCGAGGGGGGCGAGGGAGCCAAAGGTCAGGTCCCTTTCACACGAGATTCCTGTAGGGCTTTCAGCGCTGATATGGGAGGGCGGTCGACGAGGCTAAGTATGCTGCGTTAAAGACTGGTGAATAGCGCGTTGAATGGGGTGTTCTGCGCATAAAGGGTGCCCGAACGAGGAAGGGGATTTATGGAAAATGACGAAAGAACAAGAAGGAAGTAGACAATCCGCGGAGGAAGAAATGGCATCGATATTTTATCCATTTTCAATCAAGTACCCACTGTTTGTTTTCTCTAAAACAAAGAAAAGGAGTAAAGAAGACGGGGGAAAGGCAGAAAGGGACAGAGAAAACAATCACAACGAAGGCATCCCATGAATGAGGTTAGGGAGGGGGGGGGGGGCAAAGAGGGAGGGGGTCCAAAGCCTGAAGGATGTCCCCAGTGACCCCGCCCATCTGCCTCGCCCTCGTTTGTTTATCATTAAGGCTTGAATACCTCCGCGGCTGCCACATTTTACCGACCTTCCTCCCCTTCTCCCCTCTCCCCTTCTCCTTCCCTTCCCCCCTCCATCCTTCTCACTCGCACTTTCCTCGCTCCCTACCCTTACATTCCCCAGCTTAATCTCCCTCCCTCGGCGTCCTACAGCCTCCCTTCCCGCCCACCTACATCGTCTCCCTCTCTCGCCCTCTTCCATAGCTTCCCCCAACTCCCCTGGCAACACCTTCTCCCTCTCTTTCTCTTCCTCCCTCCCCCTTCTACTTCCTCTGCCTTCCTCTCTTCCACTTTTTTCTTGACCAATGGCCCCTCCTTTTCTCTGTTCCCTCTTGCTTCTCTCCTTTTATTCCACCTCTAACACCCCGATTTTTTGTTTTTGTT